GGGGGGAGAGAGACACACACACAGAGAGAGAGAGAGAGAGAGGGGGGGGGGATACAGATTCCAATAATCGTTCATAGTCCATATAGCTAAAAAAAACCCAAAAAAACCCCCATCCTATAGAGTTTCACAAGCGCACAAGGGCGCGACAGATAATGTCCATTTCTATTAAGATAAGTAAATTTTAGTCGTTAGTCAATTTTAAACAAGCATGTGTGCACACTGTACCTGCATTTCTGACTGAAGAAAGCAAATTCGCAGAAGAATGTCACGAATCCGGAATCCCCGAGCTGGCAAATAATCTAATGTTTTCCCAGGACGTCAGAGCGAGACACCCTGAAATGATGCGGCGCACCGAGGCCTGTATTTGAGCGTCCCCTCCCTCTATTGTCAACAGAAAGGCGTGGCCTCGAGTTAGCGTAGCAGAGCACGCAGGCGACACGAACCCTCGGACACGACCGAGTGATCAGCCATTGTGCAGAGCTTTTGGGTCGGGTCGGCAAGTTGTCCCAAGCGTGCTGCGAAAATTTCGAAACTCTGAGAGGCGAATATATATACATATGACAATTCTGTAACTTTGGGCGTACCAGGATATCTTTCCTTGCAGGAGCCTCCTCTATCAACATGGCTTTAAAATATTACGGCTGGATGATCAGGGTGAACAGAGCTGGTTCTTAACGGGGTCATCATCTTCTTCAAGTTAGATCTACCATCTCTCATAGAAACTATTTCTTTTTTTCTCACTCTCACCGGACGGGGGCCTTATTCGAGGTATGCATCCACCATGGCGACACACCTATCTGAGAAAAAGTGGGACAAATTAGTATGTCTTTTTTAATAGTCAACACAGCCCGAAAGCGTGATAAAGCTTTGACACTTTTACGTTCGCTTCTGATGCGTTTTCCATTTCTTGGGTGTGAGTGTAACGCTTTTATGAACAAAACTGGTCAGCTCCGTCTGTTTGTCTCAGTCTCTCTCAGTCTCTCTCAGTTTGTCTCTGTCTCTGTCTCTGTCTGTCTGTCTGTCTGTCTGTCTCTCTCTCTCTCTCTCTCTCAAAGATACGGTAAAAGATAGAGGATAAAAAGAGGTAAGAATGTGCCTAAAATGAACAGATTAAAACAATTTTTTAAATGTAAAACAATGACAGGAAGGGTGACAAAAAAACCCAAAGGGGTGCTGCTTCGGAGTTCCTTGGCCTATTAACATACATGTACTGATTTGCTTTGCTGTCGATAAATATAACCCGATGCAGACAAAGCGGTAGATTTTAGCCATGATAAGTGTACGGAAATAATGGAAGCTTTGTTCAGTTTTAGTAAGTTTTACGGCACTTGCAACACAAATAGGTCACATAAGGACCTATCCGAGGATAGGAAAGAAGAAGCAAACCACACCAGAGTACGAGCCAACCACCCACATTAATGGAAAAACGTGCGCATATATAAAAAATGCTTGCACTAATTAGAGAAACAAACAAAGGAGTCCCATTAGTCTGAACAGCTGAGTGGTTGGCCTCTTGAACTTTGTCGCGTAAACGTTGACCTCAAAGCCAAAGAAAAGACAGGCGTACGCCTCCCGAGAGGAGGGAGATGAAGAGATACTGTGCGGGCAAATGAAATTCGATATGGTGATTCACATTCATTATATATTTTAAGGATTTTTTAAGGCCAATTAAAGGACAGAAAGCGTTTTAAATATAAAAAACAGGAGAGGGATACAGGGAGAAGAATTAAGATGAGAGAGAGA